TTCTTACAATAGCATAGCTCTCTGGTGGTAAATATTTTAAAATCAGTTAGTAGTTCCAGCAATTACCCCAGGCAAACTAAAATTTTTTATTATTATGTTTATTGATATATTGTAATTAATTTTCTTTCAGATWTTATTATTGTCATTAACTGCTGGCGGTGTTGGTCTCAATTTAGTTGTTGCCAACCACTTGTTTCTAGTGGATATCCACTGGAATCCACAGCTTGAAGCKCAAGCGTGTGATCGCATTTATAGAGTAGGACAACAAAAACCAGTCAATGTGTACAAGTTTATTTGTGATAATACTATTGAAACATCAATTCAAAAAATTCAAACACAGAAACTTGAAATTGCTAGTACTGTTTTTGGTGGCTCTAGAAATGTAGAAGGTTCTAAGATAACTTTGGATGACCTCAAACAAATATTCAATATGAACCCTAATAAAGTTAATCCTTAAATTTGTTAAATTTGTTCATACTCTTATACTTTGTTCTATAATTACGACTTAAATTATTTTAAACTGTAAAAGTATTTCATAATTTATGATTTATTTTAATAATTATTACTTTGCTAAACAAATGTTCAAATATTTTGCAATATGTATTTAGTATTTATAAGTTTTTTTTTAATTAAAATGTTTAGAAATAAAAAAAAAATGCTAAAATAAAATATATAATTTTGTTAATTACTTATTAAGTTTTATGGCTCATTGTTTTTCTATGGAATTGATACTAGAGGTTTTTCAGTTCTAAAATGAAATCTTATTTTTTATACTTATTGTAGTAAATCAGTGACTTGTAAATAATTCAAATACCTATTTAAAATAAACACATAAACTACATAAAGACAGTATTAATGATTATAAATGTTCAATTTTAATGCAAATTTAAAACAACTAAAATTTAGTATTTTATTTGGAAATTTAAACAACAAATATTTTAAAATGTTTTTACAAATATAGAGAACCATCTGCTGGACCAAGGTATCTGATAGATATTAATAATACGTCAATAAGGGTCCAAACACCAAGGCCACCAAAACTGAATAGTTTGCCTATGCCTTCTTGCCAATGTCCCAAGTAAAACCTGATACAAAAAATATTATACATTTTAAATTGACATTTTAGTTAAATCACA